ATCACTTACTTTAACGGAAAGTAAATAGTCTGATATATACAATTAGGTCCCATTTGGTTTCCAAAACGTTCTCTTTTTAACCCAGGAACGCTCAAAAGTGTCTGAAGCTCGTTGTTCCTGAGCATTCAGAGGCGGATTTTCTCCACATTTCGTCTTTTTAAAGATATAAAACAATTGTTCACATGACATTAAGAAGAGACCCCCGCTAAAAAACAAAGCGATCGTCAGAATACATATAAAATGTTTTCGTTAGTGTCATTATCTTTGTTAGAAATGAGGAAGGTTCTCCGGGCAGTAAACACACAGAAGCTGTCAATGAATCGGTCAGTCAGGATTCTCTCTTGGATAGAAGGTGTTGGAAATGGTCACTTTTTCTATCAAGTAGCCTAGTTAACAGACACACAGACACACAGAAAGTACATACTGGTGTTGTAGTTTACTTAAGAAACGAAGAAAACTTTTTCATTAATCAGACCTCTCTTGTTTTTGATCGAACTGAATCAGGCACTAAATTCCTTTAGTCTCTTTTAAATTAATCCAAGGGTCATAATGCATTTTACCAAAATTCCTATTTTCACTGCAGTGAGCTAATAATATATTTAGGATTAATTACCTACAAATTGATTTGTCACAGGCCTAACTTTGTGAAGGACTGGTTTGGGACATATCCCCACCAATTGCAATAGACTTTGGCTCTTAGCAATATGTGGGACAAATTTCTAAATTAGATTTTGTTGCTTTTGAAGGAAGATAATCACTGATGTAACTGAAAGGGGAAACATCCAATCAACCAATCCACATCTTTCTGGATGGATTGATGAATGAAACTGAAATTGTCTGCATACTAGGGAGGCATCATATATTGCTGTTGGCATTAGAATTGGCTGTATATATATATATATATATATATATATATATATATATATATATATATATATATATATATATATATATACGCACGCACACATATTGATGTCTAACTGCCCATAAATCTAAATATCAGTTTATTTATTCTATTGTATTCTCAACCATAGGAAAGCATTCAATAAATATATGTTTGAGCTCAATTTTGGAAAATACAAACCCTGTTGAAAGTGTTTATGTCGAGTAGCTGTAGGTCCATCAGCCACCACTCTTAGTGTCTCCACCAACTTTCATCTCAAAGTTCCACCCTTGGTTAGGAGAGTACATAATGACATCCAAGACAGATAAATTAATTAAGCTCTTTTTGACCTCTGGACAGTAAAAAAATGGTTACAAATAAATCCATCCACAACTTAATATTTAACTACAGCCCTAGAACATGAAGCAATTGTTCCCACAAGATATTAGATTAATACATTTGTAGAATAACCAGTTATTTACTTGTCAAGGAAGAGGAGGAAGGTATTATAGAATACTTGCTTTTAAAAAGCTATATTAATATGCATCTTCAAAGGAAGTCTTACCAATACTATTTTGATGAGTTGTGTGTTTTTGATTTATTCCTCATTACTGCCATTACAACACATAATATGTTTTGTAAATAAAAGAAAACATGAGGTCTATGGTGAGGGAAAGATATACTATAGATAATTGAACTTATTTGTGCTTTGTGTAGAATTTTAGTTCATGGTTTGTTGAAGAGATTTATATAATCATTATCAGTAAAAGAGAAATGTAACAGTAACAATGTAACAAGCCAGCAAGAACACATAGGTTTTGGTATTTTAATGTTAAAAAAAATGTAAATGAAAAATATAAATATTATTGAATGATGAGAGGTAAGTAGAAATATGGATGTTTGTCAGTTAAAATTATTTTGTTTTACAGTATATTTAACACAGATACTAGGGTTTCTTATGTCACATTTTGGTAATTTCATCCCATTCTGTGAGAAACAGTCTACTGTTTGAATGTTTGTTTTTTGATC